GCCAACCACCCACACAGTTGAGTCAGTTGACCGTGACAGGCAGGGTAGATTGAGTTTTGAGAAAAAAATTATACGAAAATTGTAATTGTAGATGTTTTTATGCCTCCCGTCGACTCAGTTTTGATCATTGAGAAGACGGGCTGCTTCTTATACCCTGCCTTGCTTCTTCCACGCACTGTATGACCGTTGGTTGTTGTGGCGATGATGTTCTTGCACTGCTTCTCTTTTTTTCTCTCTTTTCATTCGGTTTGAGCAAACTTCACTGTACTTGCAGACAAAACTTTTTGTGGCATTCACTCCCAAAGACTGAGAGGTCAGGGGGAAATAAACTAGGAGCTTCCTTCTGAAAGTTTAAGAAGACGGGCAAGAACATCGCCACAACCAACGGTTATACAGTGCGTGGAAGAAGCAAGGCAGGGACAGGTAGGAACAACAGAGGGAAGGAAAAGAAGAAGTAGGATCTCCAACCATCCGCAAGGCAGGGTATAATATAAGAAGCAGCCCGTCTTCTCAATGATCAAAACTGAGTCGACGAGAGGCATAAAAACATCTACAATTACAATTTTCGTATAATTTTTTTTTATGCTGTCAGTGCTGTAGGTTTCAAAATCAGTCACCATAAAACTTGAACAACCATCTCATTTTGCCAGCAACAAATTGTCTGTTAGTTAAGGTTAAAGAATTTTTAAAAAACCCAGCGGACATTGACATGATAACGGTCTTTAAGTTTAAGGGCAAAGATAGAGAAAGTTCAGAAAGACAGGCTGACAGTAGAAACAATAGAATAGAGGGAAAGAAGAAGTTGAACCAACAGTGGCACCCACCAACCACCCATGCAACAACTTGAGAACCGACGGAAAAGAAGACGTAGAAAGAACAGATCACACAACCGTTCATCTTAATAGAGCTGGGAGCTCTCTAACTCTTAAGGGAACTGACTTTGGAGTAGGCCTACCATGATAAATGGCATAAACTGCAGCTGGAAACCACCAGACATGATTTTGTTTTTAAAATTGTCAGCTAGGAGTAAAGAGAAGCAAATCAACACAGTTGGCCAACACATACATGTAATGGTCATTCTGAGAAAGAAAAAAGCAAGAAAATGAGAATAATATAAACTTAATGAGAAGAAAAAAGAATTTTTGTTACGACCAGTGGCACCCTCCGGCCACCCAACATTTATAGTTAGAGCATACCTGCAATTCACATCGCCTCAACACAGGTTGATGGCTCTTGAGTGCCAGCACTTCCATTTTGTTATGAAAGATACCCAAGTTTACTTTGACATAATTCAAATCCTACAAAAAGTTCTGCTTTGACAAATCCAACTTTATTAACATTTTTAAAACATAACAATCAAAACAATACGGTACTC